TTTTATAACGGGACTATAACATCTCCTTATATTAAATTGCAAAAGGACAAAAGATTGCGATGTTATCTGGAATTTAACATTTATTTGTTAATCACTACGGTTTTTTCTGAGCCCAATCCTTTCAAATATATAAAAATTCAATCAGCCCACTAATAAAGCTCTATGTTCGGCCTATTCTTCACCCTGGCTCTTTAACCGGACGAGAGCTAAAATGGGCTGTAAATTCGGGTCATCATGTCGGATCCAGACCCAGATCCAATACCCATTATCAAAGACCAGCTGATTTCAATTTGAAAGGCCTCGTAGCAACTAGCAAGCAACCGCATACAGTAATGGGGCGCTCAATTTTCTCTCAGTTCCTGATGCTCTCTAGCGTTGCTCCTCGCTCCATCTCCACATTGTACTGTTTTCTCTCTCTTACCTTCAATTTTTTTGCTTCAAATTATGTGTAAATATTTCTGAAATCATTTCATATGTTTGATTTGCAATGGAAGCAGGCCATGTGGGGCTCATCTGAGCAAATGCTCGAGCAGGACGGCTGTAATGCACCACTGCCGGCGTTTACGAGCTGCTGAAAATTTCCGGTGTCTTTGCAGCGTATCGGTTGCCGAGCCTTCGACCTCAGGGACCTCTTTTAGCTCTGTAAAGTAATGATTTGTCGATTTTTTCCTCCATTAAATCCTCCATTAGTTCGATGTTCCATTGTTTGGTGTCTGTGTATGTATTTGAGGTATATCGGCTTGTGGCTATATAGTGTTGATTGACTCCTTAAAAACGATATTTCCTTTTCTGGATATTTGTGGTGTAGAGTGTTAATCATTGCTAGAGGTGTGTAGGGCTCTTGCTTCCCTGTGCTTGATGTTGTGTGTTAATCTGTCCTTTATAAGGTTGCTAAGCTTTTCTGAAGGAATTTTCTGTGAGTTGTGCGGGATGGGGTTGTAGTTTTCATGTTGTTTGGAAATATGGAGAGGCTGATTACGACCTTACTGTTTTAATGGTTTGGTAGCCTGAAAATCGGTGAACAAAATGAACTCAACTGTTGTATCAAGTCATTTTAAAGTAGCACTAATTGACCTCCTATCACTGTTTAAAGTTACCACTCTCAACATTCTGAGAGTTCTCTTAAGAAACTTCATGTCCTGAATATGGAATTTACCAAGGACTGCAATGTACCCTTGCGAATAGATTTAATCCTCAGCTGTTCCCATTGTGTTGTAGCATCTCTGAATGCTTAGATGTGATTGCTATGATTTTTTTGTCAGCACACAAATTAGTGAATTACCACCTCCAAACTAAATGGATTACTTTCATCTTGGAAACAATATGTTTTCATCCTCTTGTGTTATTTTATGGACATAGGTAAGTTTTATGAACTTACAATATACAAATGTTTGATGGTGAATAAGTTTTCATCTCCTATGGCCCTTTTCTTTTTTTTTTTT